GTTCCAATCTTAGCTGCCTTTCTTTTGTATGGGGTGATCAAATCCACTAGTAATACCTTTTTCATTGCGCAAGGAAATGCAATGGACAGGTCATTTCATTTCGTATTACAAAAAAAATAGCATCAAATTCAACTCCCCATTCAAATCTTCCTTCCTATGGCAGGATTCGCGAATTGTGCAGTCTATGAATCACGGACACGGACACGCGACACGACACAGACACACAAAAATGCAAATTTTTGAAAAATAGGGGACACGACACGCTGGGGATACGTTCAATACATATAATTAATTTTATTTATTATATGTTATAAAATTATTTAAAAAAATTTGTTCCCATAATAAAATTAACAAATATACATTATTAAAATTATATACTCAAATAATAGAAAAGAAAAAATAAAATCAGAACAAAAAAGAAAAAATAAAAGAAAAGAGAAATAAAATAAAATCCGAGGATGAGAGAGAGAGAGAGAGAGAGAGAGAGCGACTGAGGGAAAGACGAAGAAGAATGAAGATTAAATAAGATGGAGAATGAAGATCGAAAAAAAGCAGCGTGTACCTTAATAACGGACGACGAGACACGAGTGACGAGTGACGACCGACGAGAGACGTCCGACGAGGAGCGACGACCGACGAGAAGCGAAGACGAACGACGAACGACGAATCGACCAGGTCCTCTCTTTCCCATCCTTTCTCTTCTATTTCTGTTCTAATCGAAGCAGATTAGGGCAGATATTGATCTATTTTTACTTATTTACAAATCGACCCCAAAAGTTTTTTGCAAATTCATAAATTACCGCCGAACGTGTCCCGAAAGTGTCTATAACGTGTCCTGAACGTTTCCGGATGTAAAAAAAAATAAAAAGAAATGGGACAATCTCTGGGGCGTGTCGGACACGTGTCCACCGCGTGTCCGACACGTGTCTGACACTGGTACGGAACCCTTGGAGAGGTGTCCGTGCTTCATTGGTACTAAATTGCAATAGCATTATATTTGAAATAAAGTTTGAAATGGTATTGGTGTAAAATTTGTGTTGTTTTACCATCTTTTACACTTGCGCAGGTGGCCCAATAATGCTGCAATAAATGTGCCACACAATTTTTGCTACTTTCCCGATGGATGGATTAATTGCACAGTGGATGAGGTTGAGGAGACAAAGCTTCTGTTAAGAATGGTTCCAATCTCAGCTACCTTTCTTTTGTATGGGGTGATCAAATCCAATAGTAATACCTTTTTCATTGCGCAAGGAAATGCAATGGACAGGTCATTTCATTTCGTATTACAAAAAAAACCGCATCAAATTCAACTCCCTATTCAAATCTTCCTTCCTATGGCAGGATTCGCGAATTGTGCAGTCTATGAAGCACATACACGGACACGCGACACGACACAGTCACGCAAAAATGCAAATTTTTCAAAAATAGGGGACACGACATGCTGGGGATACGTTCAATATATATAATTAATTTTATTTATTATATGTTAGAAAATTATTTTTAAAAAAAATTTCCTATAATAAAATTAACAAATATACTTATTAAAATTATATACTCAAGTAATAGAAAAAAAAATCAGAATATAAAAGAAAAAGTAAAAGCTAAGAGAAGAAAAAATAAAATAAAATAAAATCAGAACATAAAAGAAAAAATAAAAATAAATAAATAAATCAAAAAATAAAAGGAGAAATAATACAAAATAAAATCAGAGGCTGACAGAGAGAGAGAGAGTGACAGAGGGAAAGACGAAGAAGAATGAAGATCAAACAAGAAGAAGAATGAACATCGTAGAAGAGCAGTGTATAGCTTAATGAGAGACGACGAGACACGAGTGACGAGAGACGTCTGACGAGGAGCGACGAGAGACGTCCGACGAGGAGCGACGACCGACGAGAAGCAAAGACGAACGACGAACGATGAATCGACCAGGTCCTCTCTTTCTTACCTTTCCCTTCTGTTTCTGTTCTAATCGAAGTAGATTAGGGCAGATATTGATCTGTTTTTACTTATTTACAAATCGACCGCAAAATTTTTTTGTAAATTCTGAAATTACCCATGAACGTGTCCCGAAAGTGTCAATAACGTGTCCAAAACGTGTTCGGATGTAAAAAAAATAAAAATAAAATGGGACACTCTTTGGTGCGTGTCGGACACGTGTCCACCATGTGTCCGACGCGTGTCCGTGTCTGACAGGTGTCTGACATTGGTACGGAGCCCTCGGAGAGGTGTCCGTGCTTCATTGGTACTAAATTGATATAGCATTATATTTGAAATAAAGTTGGAAATGGTATTGGTGTAAAATTTGTGTAGTTTTTAACATCTTTTACACTTGCACAGGTGGCTCAATAATGCTGCAATAAATGTGCCACGCAATTTCTGTTACTTTCTCAATGGATGGATTAATTGCACAGTGGATGAGGTTGAGGAGACAAAGCTTCTGTTAAGAATAGTTCCAATCTCAGCAACCTTTCTTTTGTATTGGGTGATGAAATCCAATAGTAATAACTTTTTCATTGCGCAAGGAAATGCAATGGACAGGTCATTTCATTTCGCATTACAAAAAAAACAACATCAAATATAACTCCCCATTCAAATCTTCCTTCCTATGGTAGGATTCGCGAATTGTGCAGTCTATGAAGCACGGACACGGACACACGACACGACAGAGACACAACGCGGACCCGCAAAAACGCAAATTTTCAAAAAGTGGGGACACGACACGCTGGGGATACATTCAATATATATAATTAATTTTATATATTATATGTTATAAAATTATTTTAAAAAAATTTGTTCCTATAATAAAATTAACAAATATACATTATTAAAATTATATACTCAAATAATAGAAAAGAAAAAATAAAATCAGAATATAAAAGAAAAAATAAAAAATCAAATCAAATCAAAATATAAAAGAAAAAATAAAAATAAATAAATAAATCATAATATAAAAGAAGAAATAAAATAAAATAAATCAGAGAGAGAGAGAGAGAGAGAGAGCGACTGAGGAAAGAAGATCAGAGAAGTGCTTAAGAGAGAGAGAGGGAGCGACTGAGGAAAAGACGAAGAAGAATGAAGATAGAAAAAGACAACGTGTACCTTAATGAGGGACGACAAGACACGAGTGACGAGTGACGACCGACGAGAGACGTCCGACGAGGAGCGACGACCGACGAGAAGCGAAGACGAACGACGAACGACGAATCGTCTAGGTCCTCTCTTTCTCACATTTCTCTTCTGTTTCTGTTCTAATCGAAGTAGATTAGGGTATATATTGATCTGTTTTTACTTATTTACAAATCGACCCCAAACGTTTTTTTAAATTCTGAAATTACTCCCGAACGTGTCCCGAAAGTGTCTATAACGTGTCCTGAACGCGTCCGGATGTAAAAAAAAATAAAAATAAAATGGGACACTCTTTGGTGCGTGTCAGACACGTGTCCACCGCGTATCCGAGGCGTGTCTGGTTCCGACACGTGTCTGACATTGGTACGGAGCCCTCGGAGAGGTGTCCGTGCTTCGTAGGTACTAAATTATGATAGCATTATATTTGAAATAAAGTTGGAAATGTTATTGGTGTAAAATTTGTGTAGTTTTTAACATCTTTTACACTTGCTCAGGTGGCTCAATAATGCTGCAATAAATATGCCACGCAATTTCTGCTACTTCCCCGATGGATGGATTAATTGCACAATGGATGAGGTTGAGGAGACAAAGCTTCTATTAAGAATGGTTCCAATATCAGCTACCTTTCCTTTGTATGGGGTGATCAAATCCAATAGTAATACCTTTTTCATTCCGCAACGAAATGAAATGGACAGGTCATTTCATTTCGTATTACAAAAAAAAAAAAGGCATCAAATTCAACTCCCCATTCAAATCTTCCTTCCTATTGCAGGATTCGCGAGTTGTGCAGTCTATGAAGCACGGACACGGACACACGACACGACATGGACACGCAAAATTACATATTTTAAAAAAATAGAGGATGCGACACGCTTGGGATACGTTCAATATATATAATTAATTTTATTTATTACATGTTATAAAGTTATTTAAAAAAATTTGTTCCTATAATAAAATTAACAAATATACATTATTAAAATTATATACTCAAATAATAGAAAAGAAGAAATAAAATCAGAATACAAAAGAAAAAATAAAAGGAAGGAGAAGCAAAAATAAAATAAAATAAAATAAGAATATAAAAGAAAAAATAAAAAAAAAATAAATCAGCATATAAAAGGAGAAATAAAGTAAAATAAAAAATAAAATAAAATCAGAGGCTGAGAGAGAGAGGGAGAGTAGCTGAGGAAAGAAGATCAGACAAGAGGCTGAGAGAGAGAGAGAGAGAGAGAGAGAGAGAGAGGGCGACTGAGGGAAAGACGAAGAAGAATAAAGATCGAACAAGAAAAAGAATGATGATCGAAGAAGAGCAGCGTGTACCTTAATGAGGGACGACGAGACACGAGTGACGAGTGACGACCGACGAGAAGCGAAGAAGAACGACGAACGACGAATTGACTACGTCCTCTCTTCCTCACCCTTTCTCTTCTATTCTGTTCTAATCGAAGTAGATTAGGCCAGATATTGATCTGTTTTTACTTATTTACAAATCAGCCCCAAATTTTTTTGTAAATTCTGAAATTACCCCCGAACGTGTCCCGAAAGTGTCTATAACGTGTCCTGAACGTGTCCGGATGTAAAAAAATAAAAATAAAATGGGACACTCTTTGGTGTGTGTCGGACATGTGTCCACCGCGTGTCCGTGTCCATCACGTGTCTGACACTGGTACGGAGCCCTCAGAGAGGTGTCCGTGCTTCATAGGTTCTAAATTGTGATAGCATTATATTTGAAATAAAGTTGGAAATGGTATTGGTGTAAAATTTGTGTAGTTTTTAACATCTTTTACACTTGCGCAGGTGGCTCAATAATGCTGCAATAAATGTGCCACGCAATTTCTGCTACTTTCCCGATGGATGGATGGATTAATTGCACAATGGATGAGGTTGAGGAGACAAAGCTTCTGTTAAGAATGGTTCCAATCGCAGTTACCTTTCTTTTGTATGGGGAGATCAAATCCAACAGTAATACCTTTTTCATTGCGCAAGGAAATGCAATGGACAGGTCATTTCACTTTGTATTACAAAACATACAGCATCAAATTCAATTCCCCATTCAAATCTTCCTTCCTATTGCACGATTCGCGAATTGTGCAGTCTATGAAGCACGGACACGGACACGACACGGACACGTAAAAATGCAAATTTTCAAAAAATAGGGGACACGATATGCTAGGGATACGTTCAATATATATAATTAATTTTATTTATTATATGTTAGAAAATTATTTCAAAAAATTTGTTCTGATAATAAAATTAACAAATGTACATTATTAAAATTATATACTCAAATAATAGAAAAAAAATCAGAATATAAAAGAAAAAATAAAAGAAAAGAGAAGAAAAAATAAAATAAAATAAAATCAGAACATAAAAGAAAAAATAAAAATAAATAAATAAATCAGAATATAAAAGGAGAAATAAAACAAAATAAAATCAGAGGCTGAGAGAGGGAGAGAGAGCGACTGAGGGAAAGACGAAGAAGAATGAAGATCGAACAAGAAGAAGAATGAAGATCGTAGAAGAGCAGTGTGTACCTTAATGAGGGACGACGAGACATGAGTGACGACCAACGAGAGACGTCCGATGAGGAGCGACGACCGACGAGAAGCGAAGACGAACGACGAACGACGAGTTGACCAGGTCCTCTCTTTCCTACCTTTCTCTTCCGTTTCTGTTCTAATCGAAGTAGATTAGGGCAGATATTGATCTATTTTTACTTATTTACAAATCGACCAAAATTTGTTTTTGTAAATTCTGAAATTACCCACGAACGTGTCCCGAAAGTGTCTATAACGTGTCCTAAACGTGTTCGGATGTAAAAAAAATAAAAATAAAATGGGACACTCTTTGGTGCGTGTCGGACACGTGTCCACCACGTGTTCGACGCGTTTCTGACACTGGTACGGGGCCCTCGGAGAGGTGTCCGTGCTTCATAGGTACTAAATTGTTATAGCATTATATTTGAAATAAAGTTGGAAATGGTATTGGTGTAAAATGTGTGTAGTTTTTAACATCTTTTACACTTGCACAGGTGGCTCAATAATGCTGCAATAAATGTGCCATGCAATTTCTGCTAGTTTCTCGATGGGTGGATTAATTGCACAGTGGATGAGGTTGAGGAGACAAAGCTTCTGTTTAGAATAGTTCCAATCTCAGCTACCTTTCTTTTGTATAGGGTGATCAAATCCAATAGTAATACCTTTTTCATTGCGCAAGGAAATGCAATGGACAGGTCATTTCATTTTGCATTACAATAAAAACCGCATCAAATACAACTCCCCATTCAAATCTTCCTTCCTATGGTAGGATTCACGAATTGTGCAGTCTATGAAGCATGGACATGGACACGCGACACGACACGGACACAACACGGTCCCGTAAAAACGCAAATTTTCAAAAAATAGGGAACACGACACGCTGGGGATACGTTCAATATATATAATTAATTTTATTTATTACATGTTATAAAGTTATTTAAAAAAATTTGTTCCTATAATAAAATTAACAAATATACATTATTAAAATTATATACTCAAATAGTAGAAATGAAGAAATAAAATCAGAATATAAAAGAAAAAATAAAAGGAAGGAGAAGCAAAAATAAAATAAAATAAAATAAGAATATAAAAGAAAAAATAAAAATAAAATAAATCAGCATATAAAAGGAGAAATAAAGTAAAATAAAAAATAAAATAAAATCAGACGCTGAGAGAGAGAGAGGGAGAGTAGCTGAGGAAAGAAGATCAGACAAGAGGCTGAGAGAGAGAGAGAGAGGGCGACTGAGGGAAAGACGAAGAAGAATAAAGATCGAACAAGAAAAAGAATGATGATCGAAGAAGAGCAGCGTGTACCTTAATGAGGGATGACGAGACACGAGTGACGAGTGACGACCGACGAGGAGCGACAACCGACGAGAAGCGAAGAAGAACGACGAACGACGAATTGACTACGTCCTCTCTTCCTCACCCTTTCTCTTCTATTCTGTTCTAATCGAAGTAGATTAGGCCAGATATTGATATGTATTTACTTATTTACAAATCAGCCCCAAATGTTTTTGTAAATTCTGAAATTACCCCCGAACGTGTCCCGAAAGTGTCTATAACGTGTCCTGAACGTGTCCGGACGTAAAAAAATAAAAATAAAATGGGACAGTCTTTGGTGTGTGTCGGGCACGTGTTCACCGCGTGTCCGTGTCCGACACGTGTCTGACACTGGTACGGAGCCCTCAGAGAGGTGTCCGTGCTTCATAGGTACTTAATTATGATAGCATTATATTTGAAATAAAGTTGTAAATGGTATTGGTGTAAAATTTGTGTAGTTTTTAACATCTTTTACACTTGCGTAGGTGGCTCAATAATGCTGCAATAAATGTGCCACGCAATTTCTGCTACTTTCCCGATAGATGGATGGATTAATTGCACAGTGGATGAGGTTGAGGAGGCAAAGCTTCCGTTAAGAATGGTTCCAATCGCAGTAACCTTTCTTTTGTATGGGGTGATCAAATCCAACAGTAATACCATTTTCAATGCGCAAGGAAATGCAATGGACAGGTCATTTCATTTCGTATTGCAAAAAATACAGCATCAAATTCAACTCCCCATTCAAATCTTCCTTCCTATTGCAGGATTCGCGAATTTTGCAGTCTATGAAGCACGGACACAGACACGACACGAACACGCAAAAATGCAAATTTTCAAAAAATAGGGGAGACGATACGCTGGGGATACGTTCAATATATATAATTAATTTTATTTATTATATGTTATAAAATTATTACATAAAATTTGTTCTTATAATAAAATTAACAAATATAGATTATTAAAATTATATACTCAAATAAGAGAAAAAAAAATAAAATCAGAATATAAAAGAAAAAATAAAAGAAAAGAGAAGAAAAAATAAAATAAAATAAAATCAGAACATAAAAGAAAAAATAAATAAATAAATAAATAAATCAGAATATAAAAGGAGAAATAAAACAAAATAAAATCAGAGGCTGAGAGAGGGAGAGAGAGCGACTGAGGGAAAGACGAAGAAGAATGAAGATCGAACAAGATTAAGAATGAAGATCGTAGAAGAGCAGTGTGTACCTTAATGAGGGACGACGAGACATGAGTGACAACCAACGAGAGACGTTCGACGAGGATCGACGACCGACAAGAAGCGAAGATGAACGACGAACGACAAATTGACCAGGTCCTCTCTTTCTCACCTTTCTCTTCCGTTTCTGTTTTAATCGAAGTAGATTAGGGCATATATTGATCTGTTTTTACTTATTTACAAATCGACCAGAAAAGTTTTTTGTAAATTCTGAAATTACCCACGAACGTGTCCCGAAAGTGTCTATAACATGTCCTAAACGTGTTCGGATGTAAAAAAAAATAAAAATAAAATGGGACACTCTTTGGTGCGTGTCGGACACGTGTCCACCATGTGTCCGATGCGTGTCCATGTCCGACACGTGTCTGACACTGGTACGGGGCCCTCGGAGAGGTGTCCGTGCTTCACAGGTACTAAATTGTTATAGCATTATATTTGAAATAAAGTTGGAAATGGTATTGGTGTAAAATTTGTGTAGTTTTTAACATCTTTTACACTTGTACAGGTGGCTCAATAATGCTGCAATAAATGTGCCATGCAATTTCTGCTACTTTCTCGATGGGTGGATTAATTGCACAGTGGATGAGGTTGAGGAGACAAAGCTTCTGTTAAGAATAGTTCCAATCTCAACTACCTTTCTTTGGTATGGGGTGATCAAATTCAATAGTAATACCTTTTTCATTGCGCAAGGAAATGCAATGGACAGGTCATTTCATTTTGCATTACAATAAAAACAGCATCAAATACAACTCCCCATTCAAATCTTCCTTCCTATGGTAGGATTCGCGAATTGTGCAGTCTATGAAGCATGGACACGGACACGCGACACGACACGGAAACAACACGGACCCGCAAAAACGAAAATTTTCAAAAAATAGGGAACACGACACGCTGGGGATACGTTCAATATATATAATTAATTTTATTTATTATATGTTATAAAATTATTTACAAAAATTTGTTCCTATAAAAAAATTAACAAATATGCATTATTAAAATTATATAGTCAAATAATGGAAAAGAAAAATTAAAATCAGAATATAAAAGAAAAAATAAAAGAAAAGAGAAGAAAAAAACAAAATAAAATGAAATTAGAATTTAAAGGAAAAAATAAAAATAAATAAATAAATCGGAATATAAAAAGAGAAATAAAATAAAATAAAATCAGAGGCTGAGAGAGAGAGAGAGAGAGAGAGAGAGAGAGAGAGAATGAGAGAGCGACTAAGGAAAGAAGATCAGACAAGAGGCAGAAAGAGAGAGAAGGAGCGACTGAGGGAAAGACGAAGAAGAATGAAGATCGAAAAAGACAGCGTGTACCTTAATGAGGGACGACGAGACACGAGAGACGAATGACGACCGACGAGAGACGTCCGACGAGGAGCGAAGACGAACGACGAACGACGAATCGTCCAGGTCCTCTCTTTCTCACATTTCGCTTCTGTTTCTGTTCTAATCGAAGTAGATTAGGGCAGATATTGATCTAGTTTTACTTATTTACAAATCGACCCCAAATATTTTTTGTAAATTCTGAAATTACTCCCGAACGTGTCCCGAAAGTGTCTATAACGTGTCCTAAACGTGTCCGGATGTAAAAAAAATAAAAATAAAATGGGACACTCTTTGGTGCGTGTCGGACACGTGTCCACCGCGTATCCGACATGTGTTCGTGTCCGACACGTGTCTGACACTGGTACAGAGCCCTCGGAGAGGTGTCCGTGCTTCATAGGTACTAAATTATGATAGCATTATATTTGAAATAAAGTTGGAAATGGTATTGGTGTAAAATTTGTGTAGTTTTTAACATCTTTTACACTTGCGCAGGTGGCTCAATAATGCTGCAATAAATGTGCCACGCAATTTCTGCTACTTTCCCGATGGATGGATTAATTGCACAATGGATGAGGTTGAGGAGACAAAGCTTCTATTAAGAATGGTTCCAATATCAGCTACCTTTCCTTTGTATGGGGTGATCAAATCCAATAGTAATACCTTTTTCATTGCGCAAGGAAATGCAATGGACAGGTCAATTCATTCGGTATTACAAAAAAACAAAAAGGCATCATCAACCTTCATTTCAATCTTCCTTCTATTGCGGATTGCACGCAGTTGTGCAGTCTAGTGAGCACGGACACGGCACACGGACACGACACGACACACAAATTGTAGGTTTTCAAATAGGGGACGCGGAACGTTGGGAATACGTTCAATATATATAATTAATTTTATTTATTATATGTTATAAAATTATTTTAAAAAATTTTGTTCCTATAATAAAATTAACAAATATACATTATTAAAATTATGTACTCAAATAATAGAAAAGAAGAAATAAAATCATAATATAAAAGAAAAAATAAAAGGAAAGAGAAGAGAAGAAAAAATAAAATAAGAATATAAAAAAAAATAAAAATAAATAAATCAATCAGCATATAAGAGGAGAAATAAAGTAAAATAAAAAATAAAATAAAATCAGAGGCCGAGAGAGAGAGGGAGAGCAGCTGAGGAAAGAAGATCAGACAAGAGGCTGAGAGAGAGAGACAGACAGAGCGACTGAGGGAAAGACGAAGAAGAATGAAGATCGAACAAGAAGAAGAATGATGATCGAAGAAGAGCAGCGTGCACCTTAATGAGGGACGACAAGACACGAGTGACGAGTGACGACCGACGAGGAGCGACAACCGACGAGAAGCGAAGAAGAACGATGAACGACGAATTGACCAGGTCCTCTCTTTCTCACCCTTTCTCTTCTATTTCTGTTCTAATCGAAGTAGATTAGGCCAAATATTGATCTGTTTTTACTTATTTACAAATCGACCCCAAAAGTTTTTTGTAAATTCTAAAATTACCCACGAACGTGTCCCGAAAGTGTCTATAACGTGTCCTGAATGTGTCCGGATGTAAAAAAATAAAAATAAAATGGGACACTCTTTGGTGTGTGTCGGACACGTGTCCACCGCGTGTCCGTCACGTGTCCGTGTCTGACACGAGTCTGAAACTGGTACGGAGCCCTCGGAAAGGTGTCTGTGCTTCATAGGTACTAAATTATGATAGCATTATATTTGAAATAAAGGTGGAAATAGTATTGGTGTAAAATTTTTGTAGTTTTTAACATCTTTTACATTTGCGCAGGTGGCTCAATAATGTTGCAATAAATGTGCCACGCAATTTCTGCCACTTTCCCGATGGATGGATTAATTGCCCAGCGGATGAGGTTCAGGAGACAAAGCTTCTGTTAAGAATGGTTCCAATCTCAGCTACCTTTCTTTTGTATGGGGTGATCAAATCCAATAGTAATACCTTTTTCCTTGCGCAAGGAAATGCAATGGACAGGTCATTTCATTTCGTATTACAAAAAAAAATAGCATCAAATTCAACTCCCCATTCAAATCTTCTTTCCTATGGCAGGATTCGCGAATTGTGCAGTCTATGAAGCACGGACACGGACACGGACACAGACCTGGACACGCAACACGACACTAACTCGACACGGACACGCAAAAATGCAAATTTTCAAAAAATAGACGACACGACACGCTGGGAATACGTTCAATATATATAATTAATTTTATTTATTATATGTTATAAAATTATTTTAAAAAATTTTGTTCCTATAATAAAATTAACAAATATACATTATTAAAATTATATACTCAAATAATAGAAGAGAAAAAATAAAATCAGAATATAAAAGTGAAAATAAAAGAAAAGAAAAGATAAAATAAAATAAAATCAGGATATAAAAGAAAAAATAAAAATAAATAAATAAATCAGAATATAAAAGGGGAAATAAAATAAAATAAAATAAAAAATAAAATAAAATCAGAGGTTGAGAGAGAGAGAGAGAGAGAGAGCGACTGAGGAAAGAAGATCAGACAAGAGGATAAGAGAGAGAGAGAGAGAGCGACTGAGGGAAAGACGAAGAAGAATGAAGATTGAACAAGAAGAAGAATTAAGATCAAAGAAGAGCAGCGTGTACCTTAATGAGGGATGACGAGACACGAGTGACGAGTGACAACCGACGAGGAACGACGACCGACGAGAAGCGAAGACGAACGACGAACGACAAATCGACCCGGTCCTCTCTTTCCCACCCTTTCTCTTCTATTTCTGTTCTAATCGAAGTAGATTAGGGCAGATATTGATCTATTTTTACTTATTTACAAATTGACCCCAAATTTTTTTTGTAATTTCTGAAATTACCCCCGAACGTGTCCCGAAAGTTTCTATAACTTCTCCTGAACGTGTTCGTATGTAAAAACAATAAAAATAAAAATGGGACACTCTCTGGTGCATGTCGGACATGTGTTCTCCGCGTGTCCGACGCGTGTCCATCTCCGACACGTGTCTAACGCTGGTACGGAGCCCTCGGAGAGGTGGTCGTGCTTCATAGTGTGCAGTGCAACCTCTATATAGGATAGTATTTAGCCGACGAATAGAGCGAATGAATGGCAGATACTCAGCTGGAATGAAGGTTGGTTTAGGAATGCTTGCCGCTTTGGCTTGTTGTAATGTTGCTTGGTGGGTCGAGTATAAAAGGCAAAAAGCTTTGAAAGAACACGACATGTTAGGTAATCCCGATGCCATGGCACCAATATCTGTATTTTGGCTCTCTCCACAGTTTGTACTGATGGGAATCATGGATGGATTAGCTCTTTATGGTATTGAGGATTTTTTTGAGTATCAGGTTCCAGAGTCAATAAGGAAGAGGTATGCACTCGTACTCACTGAAGCTGTGATTGGATGGGGAAAAAAAGTGAACGTAGGGTTTACTATGATATTAGACGTGGTGGTCATGAAGTTGAGAGCTGAAGATGGAAGTTAGATTGCAGACACTGTGAATCAGAGCCATTTGGATCTTTTTATGCTGCATTAGTGGTCGTGAGCATAGCCAATCTGTTAATCTTTGCATATGTTGCTAGGTTCTACAGTTACTGTGATTTTCCAGAAGAGAAAGATGACGACGAAGAAGAAGATCCACTTAAAGAAAGTAAAACTTAAAAGAAGCAAGAGAAGATGGATACCACACCTGATGAAGAAACTGAAAGAACAATAAGAACTAGGGCTGTGCAAAATGTCACTCAATTCAGTGAAATCGAATTGATCCGTAGGAATTCACACCGTTCTAACCACTATCCGCGTATACCTTAAAATTTATAATTCGCCAACTAAACCGCCCCATTCCGCTATAGTTAATACATATATATTTTTGAACCTCTAATGAAACATCAATGTAAAAATAAGTGACGACGAGACAAGAAGAAGAATGAAGATCGAAGAAGAGTAGTGTGTACCTTAATGAGGGACGACGAGACACGAGTGACGAGTGACGATCGACGAGGAACGACGACCGACGAGAAGCGAAGATGAATGACGAACGATGAATCGACCCGGTCCTCTCTTTCTCACCCTTTCTCTTCTGTTTCTTTTCTAATCGAAGTAGATTAGGGCAGATATTGATCTATTTTTACTTATTTACAAATCGACCCGAAATTTTTTTGTAATTTCTGAAATTACCCCCGAACGTGCCTCGAAAGTTTCTATAACGTGTCCAGATGTAAAAAAAAAAAAAAAGAATAAAAATGGGACACTCTCTGGTGCGTGTCGGACACGTGCTCTTCGCGTGTCTGACACGTGTCCGTGTCCGACACATGTCTAAAACTGGTACGGAGCCCTCGGAGAGGTGGTCATGCTTCATAGTGTGTAGTGCAACCTCTGTATAGGATAGTATTTGAACGATGAATAGAGCGAATGAATGGGAGATACTCAGCTGGAATGAAGGTTGGTTTAGGAATGCTTGCCGCTTTGGCATGTTGTAATGTTGCTTGGTGGGTGGAGCATAAAAGGCTAAAAGCTTTGAAAGAACACGACTTGGTAGGTAATCCCGATGCCATTGCACCAATATCTGTATTTTGGCTCTCTCCACAGTTTTGTACTAATGGGAATCATGGACGGATTAGCTCTTTATGGTATTGAGGATTTTTTTAAGTATCAGGTTCCAGAGTCAATAAGGAAGAGGTATGCACTCGTACTCGCTGAAACTGTGATTGGATTGGCAAAAATAGTGAACATACGGTTTATTATGATATTAGACGTGGTGGTCATGAAGTTGAGAGCTGAAGATGGAAGTTGGACTGCAAACACTGTGAATCAGAGCCATTTGGATCTTTTTTATGCTGCATTTGTGGTCGTGAGCATAGCCAATCTGTTAATCTTTGCATATGTTGCTGGGTTCTACAGTTACCGTGATTTTCCAGAAGCAGAAGATGACGACGAAGAAAAAGATCCACATGAATAAATTAATACTGGAAAGAAGCAAGACAAGATGGAACCCACACCTGATGAAGAAACTGAAAGAACAATAAGAACTAGGGCTGTGCAAAATGTCACTCAATTCAGTGAAATCGAATTGATCCGTAGCAATTCACACCGTTCTAACCACTATCTGCGTAAACTTTAAAATTTATAATCCGCCAACTGAATCGCTACATTCCGCTATAGTTAGTACATATATATTTTTTAACCTCTAATGAAATATCAATGTAAAAATAAGTGACGATGAGACAAGAAGAAGAATGAAGATCGAAGAAAAGCAACGTGTACCTTAATGAGGGACGACGAGACACGAGTGATGAGTGACGATCGACGAGGAACGACGACCGATGAGAAGCGAAGATGAACGACGAACGACGAATCGACCCGGTCCTCTCTTTCTCACCGTTTCTCTTCTGTTTCTGTTCTAATCAAAGTAGATTAGGGCAGATATTGATCTATTTTTACTCATTTACAAATAGACCCCAAATTTTTTTTAGTATTTGAATGAGGAATAGAGTGAATGAATGGGAGATACTCAGCTGGAATGAAGGTTGGTTTAGGAATGCTTGCCGCTTTGGCTTGTTGTAATGGTGCTTGGTGGGTGGAGTATAAAAGGCTAAAAGCTTTAAAAGAACACGACTTGTTAGGTAATCTCGATGCCATTGCAGCAATATCTGTATTTTGGCTCTCTCCACAGTTTGTACTGATGGGAATCATGGACGGATTAGCTCTTTATGGTATTGAGGATTTTTTTAAGTATCAGGTTCCAGAGTCAATAAGGAAGAGGTATGCACTCGTACTCACTGAAGCTGTGATTGGATGGGGAAAAATGGTGAACATAGGGTTTATTATGATATTAGACGTGGGGGTCATGAAGTGGAGAGCTGAATATGGAAGTTAGATTGCAGACACTGTGAATCAGAGCCGTTTGGATCTTTTTTACGCTGTATTAGTGGTCGTGAGCATAGCCAATCTGTTAATCTTTGCATATGCTGCTAGGTTCTACAGTTACCGTGATTTTCTAGAAGAAGAAGATGATGACGAAGAAGAAGATCCACATAAAGAAATTAAAACTGGAAAGAAGCAAGAGAAGATGGAACCCACACCTAATGAAGAAACTGAAAGAACAATAAAAAATGGGGCTGCGCAAAATGTCACTCAATTCAGTGAAATCACTCAATTTAGTGAAATCGAATTGATCCGTAGCAATTCACACCGTTCTAACCACTTTCTGCGTGAACTTTAAAATTTATAATCCGCCAACTGAACCGCTCCATTCCGCTATAGTTAATACATATATATTTTTTAACCTCTAATGAAATATCAATGTAAAAATAAGTGACGATGAGAGAAGAAGAAGAATGAAGATCGAAGAAGAGCAGCGTGTACCTTAATGAGGGACGACGAGACACAAGTGACGAGTGACGATCGACGAGGAACGACGACCGACGAGAAGCGAAAACGAACGACGAACGACGAATCGACCCGGTCCTCTCTTTCTCACCCTTTCTCTTCTGTTTCTGTTCTAAACTGGAATATGTTCATTGAATATAGACCTGAATATATATACTCTGACCATAGTGACATTTGATGCATCATTATATTGATAGAAAGCTCGTCTTAAACCCCATCGTTTTACTAAACTTTAGCGTATATATCTGTTT